TAAAGTATTTTTATTGTCTACATTTATTTCATTACTTTCAGTATCATCTTGCTCTGTAGAATTCTCAGTTTCTAATGGTCGACAAATAAATGTTTTATCTGAAGGAGGTTTGGGAAAATTAAATCTACAAACTTTTTTATTCTTCCTACAAGATTTAGAATGTTTAGAACTGTGTTTCTGAACATTGGATACTATTTCATTTAATTCAGGGTCTGTTTTCTCATCTGGCAATTCACATGAAATATATTTATCAATAAATTCTACAACCTGTTCATCACTATCTACATCTAGTTTAGGAGCTTGATCTATATAAATTATCATATGCACATGCGGTGATCCTCTTTGTTGAAATTCAATTCGATAAAAATAGTCAGAAATTTTTCCTATTGGCTCTGCATTTGATAATAATACATTTCTTAAAAACAGCTTAAATCTTTGATCAAAAAGTCTGGCAACAGTCACTGGATTTGATCTCAACAATTCACGTTTTTGTAACCAATTTAAATCACTTACTTTTACTGTAGAACCTTGTTGTAACAATATTGTATTTAAAAAGGATTCAAATCTTAGTTCACTACAGCTAAATGACACAAAAAAAGTAGGAGTACCTAGTTGTCTTAACATAGCAAACAGATCTTTCTGAGTAGCTTGCCAATAAGCTGGACTTCCACGACAGTTTTTCATAAAAGTATAACCAGCATCAGATTTGAGAATATTTTGAAGTGGTTCATCTTGAGTTAACATATCAGCTGTTATCATATTACCTCCCATTCTACCTTGTCTTAAAGCAATAGATGTACCTGATATTATTTGTTGTAATTCATAAATATATTGACCATAAAATAAATAATCAGAGCATGATGCAAAACGATTGTCTACAGACATTAACCTTGTCTTTAAATATTTACCTAGTGTTATTCTAACATCTCTATTTTCAAAAAAAGTATTTTTACCTTTAGGAAACAAATAAGGAAAGGAACACGCTTCATTTGACTTATCCATTAAAAGTCTAACTGGTTGATTATTTTCACTTGGAGAAACAGAAAATATCTTATCAGAACTATTCAATACTTCAGCAGTAGCATCAACAGGTTGAAGGCATGTTCCACCTAATGAATCACAAGTATATCTACCTATATTATCATCTATTAATGGTAAATCATCCTCGCTATCACTATTAGACTTATCATTAGATTCTACATTTACTGTTGTATCATTAGATTCTACATTTACTGTTGTATCATTAGATTCTACATTTACTGTTGTATCATTAGATTCTACATTTACTGTTGTATTATTAGATTCTACATTTACAGATATATTATCTTCTATCATTTCATCTTGTTTATCTTGTTCTTCAACCCACCTGTCATTTAGAGTAACATCATGATAATAAACATTGTTATCTTTCAAGTAATTTAGTGCATTTTTTATGTTATTTTTTGTTACTGTTTGAAATTCATAATATCCTTTATTAGAAATTTTCTTTTTCAGTTTAATTCTTATCATTTCATCATCATTTTTACATCTTGGTAAAACATTACTCATTTCAGTCAAATTTGATGGCACAGAAACAATCTCACCTAATAATTTTTTATCATTTTGTGGACAAACTTTAACTAGTTTCAAGAATAAAATATTTTTACATACCAGGTGTTTCTCTAATTGATTTAAGCATTTTAATTCATTAGGTAATGGACCAGGATCCATGTCATTTACAATAGCCTCAGGCGGCATTTTTCCTTGTAGAATCTTTTTATTACATGTTAAACATATCCAGAGAGTTTTATAATTATCAGACCAGCAACAATCATTAGTAATACAAATGTCATCACAAACATGATAGTAAGTATTAGTTATACATTTCTTTGCTAATCTTTCTACTAGTTTACTTTTCTTTTCATAAAGTTCTTCTTGACACTCTTTAACTTGATTTTTAAACAATAATCTATTACAAACAGAACACACATAAATAGGACCTTCAGAAGTATCAGTTTTAAATTGATTAATAACTTTATCAATACTACTCATTTCTTTTCTTTTGGCAATTCGTCTTTTATGTCTCATTTTGTTTACTTTGACTTTATTGTTGTTATAATTCTTTCTAGATTTCTGTTTTTGTTTATTTCTATAATGTAAATTAGTTCTATACATATTTCTATATTTATTTAAAATTCTTATCCTCAATTCATTCATATACCTTTGCTTCAGTTTTAACTTTATTTCATCTATATATTTACATTTTAATTCCCATTTTAAGACTTTTTGATATTTAACCTTAAGCTTTGGTTTTAAGATTGTTTGATATTTGTTCTTCAGCTTTGGTTTTAATATTTTGTGATATTTGTCTTTCAGCTTTGGTTTCAAAACATTCTGATATTTGTCTTCGAGTTTTGGTTTCAATATATTTTGATACTTGTCTTCAAGTTTTGGTTTTAATATATTTTGATATTTGTTTTCAAGTTTTGGTTTTAATACATTTTCATATTTTTCTTCAAGTTTTGGTTTCAATACATTCTGATATTTGTCTTCAAGTTTTGGTTTTAATACATTTTGATATTTGTCTTCAAGTTTTGGTTTCAAGACATTTTGATATTTGTCTTCAAGTTTTGGTTTCAATACATTTTGATATTTGTCTTCAAGTTTTGGTTTCAATACATTTTGATATTTGTCTTCAAGTTTTGGTTTCAATACATTTTGATATTTGTCTTCAAGTTTTGGTTTTAATACATTTTCATATTTGTCTTCAAGTTTTGGTTTTAATACATTCTGATATTTTTCTTCAAGTTTTGGTTTCAATACATTCTGATATTTATCTTCAAGTTTTGGTTTTAATATTGTTTCATATTGAGTGTGTAGTATAGACCTTAATTGACTTGTATATTTTCTTTTTAAATGAGCTTTAATATAACTAATCTGATATTGTTTTCTCCTCCTTTTATTCAAATTATAAATTTCTTTTTTGGTTCTAAATGCAAGTTTAAAGTTTAATCTGACTTTTTGTCCAGAATTTAGTTCTTTCTTTACTAAATTATAGTTTTGAAAATAATTACTTCGCTTTTTATTAGGTTTCCATCTACTACCTCGTTTCTTTTTCAAGTGTTTTCTTTTACCTGATAATTGTGTATCAACATTATCATCAATAACTATAATAGGTTCATTTCTCTCAACATTTTCAACCACTTCATAATGATTCTCATCTCTATGGTGAAGATAAATAGCTTCTGGTGTATAACTATTGTTAATCTGTAATACAGGATATTTCACCCATTCATTATTAGTAAATATATATATATCTGTTTGTAACAAATCACAAGCTGCCAATATCTCAAATTCTGTACCCCACGTTCCTTGCATTCTCATTCTAGAACGTTTAATATAGTCATCAATAGATTGATATTGTTCTCTTAATAAAGGCTTAAAAAAATCTGCCTTTGATATTATATGGTTAACTATAGCAAGTCTTACTTTTCTATGATTATTTTCACATAAAGAAAGAACAAATGATAAACTTCTAAACAAACAATTACCATCTCCTTTGATTTCAGTTATTTTAGTAGGTTTTGTCAGTTTACAAATCTCAGCCACATCAACATCATGTAAGTTATCAACAGGTAAACTAATCAGTTCACATAACTCTCTTCTTTTCTCAGATCTAATTGGATTAAAAATAAAATCATTGGTTTCTACATTAGTTATAACAACCTCATCAGTATCATTATCTTGACTACTTGATTCAATTGGATGATCAACTTGCATAATGTCGCAATCATCAACAGAATTATTTACTTCATTAATTGGATCATTATTCTCATTACCCATCATAATAACATTAATACCAGTTATTTCATATTGCTCTAACCTATTCAT